TTTATTTAAGGAAGGTGGTGGAGTGAAGTCTTTGGGGTCGTGATCCGAGGAAGGGGGGTCCTGAGAATGGTGCACGAAGAGCCTGAGAGTGTCTTGGTCCGTGGGTTTTTTCCTCGTGCAGAGAGGGAGCCGTGACGAGGGAAACCGGGGTGGTGCGCAGGGGTCCGGTGCTCAGGGTTCGGTGCTCGTGGGTGGGTGCTCTCGTGAAGGATCTCCCGGTGAAGGTGTCCGTGGTCGTGAATTCCCGTGGGTGACAAACGCTGGAGTGCTTGGAGGTGTGCCGAGTGCTGGAGCCGAGGAGGAGAACTGGAGACAGGCAGAGAAACACATACCATAAACTTGAAGCTAGAGAACATCAAAATTGCTCAGCGCGGTGTAGCAGTTCGTGGCCTGACTGTACCCCGAGATAGGTATCACAATCCTCTGGCGTCAGTCTTCTGTGAGACGCCAGTATTTAAGCCGGGCACAGCTGATGAGCCGATGAGCCACAGCTGCCAGCGTGCGCGTGTCTCTCCTGATCGGCTCCGCCCAGCCTGCAGAGAACAGAGGCACACCCACCAAAACACAGAGACAGACAAAATCCCAAAAACACAGTGAACCCAGTCTATGACCCTCACAATGTCAGTCAGCACAAATGAGTGCTCTTTATTTTATTACTAAAACTTCACGTTGCTGCCAATGCATGCGTACCTCTACTTGTCTAAGCTTTTTTTATGCAGGACTTTTACTTGTAACAGACTTTTTTTTTTTTTTTAGATTGTTGTGACTTTCATTTGAGTAGAGTCATGACTGTCTGTTAAAAATGTCAAAGTGCTGCATTTTCAGACTAGATGATGTCAGTGTTCTGTGCATCTGACCACCAGCTTTGTATTTCTGTATGTAACAACGCTGCTCTATTCCCATGCGAATGGATTCCAGCTAATATGGCAACATTTAAATTAACGCATGAAGTAACTGTGACCTTATTATTAACTGATTATCTATTTTGTGCTAACTGAAAGCATCAACTCCTGATACTATATATAGTATATATGTTAGTATTGAATGCACCCCTCCTTACAGAGCACCAGTGTGAAAACTACCATTCTGGTGGTGGATTTTTTCCTCTTTTGAGCAACAGGCCCCTTTTGTCTGCTTATAAAATGCCTTTTTCACCTCTTTACAACATAGACGGCCAAGTTTCATGACATAACTTACTTACTAGTGGTGACAATCGTCTTTAGATTCAAAACTGCAAACAGTGTGGAGGTGTTGTTCTCATCAGTGACGTTTTATTGAACTTACCTCTGCTGCTGGGTGTGTAGAGGGTCTTATCTGTCTGGATGAACATGTAACCGGAGTGGAAGGACACTAAGACGACTTTCTCCAGTCTTACATCAGGGAAGTAAGCTTGCAGGTAAACATACTGCCTCATGCTGGGATCCCTACTGAAGCCTGCAGGGGGAATCTGAACCCAGTATGAAGAGACACCATCAGTGGGTATAGAGGAGGATGAAACATTTGTTTGTTTCTTCTCTTGTTTGCAAATCTTTAAAATACTAATTTAATTGTGGCAATGAAACCAAGTAATAAAATGTCTATATACCTTAATTTGTCCAAAGCCCTGATGTTTGTTTG